TGAAACAGTTTTTCGATCAACCCGCGCCGCGCGAGCGATTTTCATCGCAGCTCGCGATCAACCCGCGCCGATCAAAATCGGCGGACGAAAAAGCGCAGCCCTCACTCCACGAAAAGTAAAGCCTGAAAGTTTGAACAGAGGACGACGACGGACGTCGCTCCCTCCTCCGCCACACGCGACCGCGCCTCGCGCGTGAAGCCACCGCGCGGACGCGTCGCGCGCGCGACCGCCGCGAGCGAGCGAGCGAGGAAGCGCGCGAGCGGGGAAGGGACGCGCCGCGCGCGAGAGATCCTCTCTCGGTTCAAACCGAATAGGGGGGGCGCCGCTCGGTGACGCGTTTGAACGACGAAACCCTCGTCCGATGGCGTCGTCGGCGACGTTCGGCGCGCGATGCGCGACGCCCGCGCGCCTCGCGGCGGGATCGGCGCGCCATCCTCGACGCGCGCACCGCGCGTCGCGCGCCTCGACGACGCGCGCGCAGGCCGGGGTCGAGCCGCACAACCACCGCGGAGACACCGCGAGATCGCCCGCGCGCGACCCGAGGGTGGACATCATCGGCAAGCCGTCGGAGCGCTCGCCGCTCGCGCCGTCGCCGCCGTCGTCGCCCGCGCGCCCGCGCGGCGCGTCCGCGCCGTCGCCGTCGCCGCCGGCGACGGCGGCGGCGATGAAGAAGCCCGGAGCCTCCTCCTCGTCGTCGTCCGCGCGAGGGGCGAGCGCGGATCTCGGACCGAACACGCCGCGGCGCTACCAGCGCACGTCGTGGTACGGCGCGGTGCCCCTCGGCGCGGGCGTGCGCTCGAACGTCACCGCGAGGCGTCGACGACTGGCGGCAGCCGCGGAAGCCGGCGGAATCGACGGCGGCTCGCTCGGGTCGTCCAACCCTGCGGTCGTGAAGGCCGCGACCGCGGGGCACGCGCCGCTCCCCGCGATGAAGAAGCCGTTCAAGGAGCCGGCGAGCGGCGACGGCGGCGACTCGCTCGACCTCCCGAGGCAGACGAGCGTCGACGCGGTCGCGAAGAAAAAAGACGACGACGACGCGAAAACGAAAGCCGCGAGCGACGACGACAAGAGCGCGGGCGCGGCGCACCTGACGCGCCTCCTCCGCACGCCCCTCAGCGGCGGCGTCTTGAACTCGATGAAAGACGCGGACCTCCCGACGGTCGCGGTCGCGGCGAGGAACCTCATGGAGCTCGCGGACTACGCGGATCTGTCCACCATAATGAGCAACATGAATCACCGCAGGTGCGATTTGATTTCCTCACACCGGTCGCCGTACGACCGCGTCGGCGTGGTGAACGCCGATCCTTAAGGACTTCACTTCCCGTCGTCTCTCTCCGCCCATCAAGGGCCCCTCGCTTTCGAACCTCACCCACCCACGACGCCTTTCAACTCCGCTTCTGACGCCTGCCTGCCTTTCAACTCCACCCCGATATCAATCATCGCTTCGCTCAGAACCGGATACCCGTTCGCGTCGACGGTGGACTTCGCCACCGACGCGGACGGCCACCCGATCTTCTGCCTGACCCCGCTCGCGATGCACACGAGGAACTTGGCGTACAACACGCGCGCGAGTCTTACGGTGAAGATGAACGGCTGGGGCGGTCTCGCGAACGCGCGCGTGACAATCTTCGGCGACGTCACGCGGCTCCCCGCGGAGCACCAGGCGGCGGCGAACGAGATCTTCAAGGCGAAGTACGAGGCGAGGAAAGAAGAGGTGGATCTCCAGGACCGCTGGGGCGATTACACGTTCTACAGGATGAACGACGTCATCGACGTGTACTTCGTCGGAGGGTTCGGGACGTTGAACTGGGTCAATCTCGCGGAGTACAAGAGCGCGAAGCCGGATAAGATCGTGACGCCGTCGGCGGGGAGCTCAGGCGCGTTCGTATTCACACACTGGTTCCCATACGACCGCGTTCGCGTGGTGAACGCCGATCCTTAAGGACTTGTCTTCCCGGCGTTCGTCTCTCTCCGCCCATCAGGGTCCCTCGCTTTCAATCCCGACACACCGGTCTCGACGCCTTTCAACTCCGCTTCTGACGCCTTTCAACTCCGCTTCTGACGCCTTTGAACTCCACCCCGATATCATCATCGCTTCGTATGGACCCTCGACCCTCAGTGCTCGACGTCCTCGCCGAACTCAACACCAAGTACGGCGCGCGGCTCGCGCAGAGCGGCGCGGTGCAGGCTGGCGCGGCGTTCAACGAGCCCCTCGACGGACGTGCGATTCCGCGCGTGGACGACCTGTGGATAATCTCGATCGATAAGAGGGGCGTCGACGTCCGCGTGCGCGTCGACGGCGTGTCGCAGGTGCGAAGGCTGTCGTGGAACGGGTGCGTGGAGACGTACGCCGACGCGTGCGGCGCGGTGGAGGCGATCATCGACGGGCGGAGCTGGGACGGGGGGGAGAATCCGAGCGAGGAGTGCGACGTGCGCGAGAAGAAGCCACGGTCGTGAGGAAGGGGAGGAGACGAGCGAGAGAGAGGAGAGAGAGGAGAAGAGAAGAGAGGCGAGTCGCTCGCTCGCTCGACGTGTAAAACGCAAACCAAACCGACGCAATCAAATCAACATCAGTCGTCTAAAGAAGACTTGGTTCGTTCCCTCGAGTCGAGTGAAAGAAAATCAGGTTGAGTGGGAACGAGCACGGAAACGCGGCGGTGTCGAGAACACCAAAACGCGGTGTTCAGAACACCGAAACGCGGTGTCGAGAACACCGAAACGCGGTGTTCAAAACACCAAACAAAACGCGGTGTGGAAGAAAAAACACGAACAACAACCAAAAAAATTAGCAAACTTTTATTTAAGCAAACTTTTAACCAAAACTTCAGACGAGTCAATTCTCGTAGGTGTCTAAACCGTAAACAGACCCTCGATTTCGCCGTATAGCGAAAAACTTGTCGTTTTCACCCCGTTTTCCCCGAATAAAGCCACCACGCGGAAAGATTTCTAAATCTTTCGGTGCTAATATTTCCGCGAAATCGACGGTTTATTCAGGGTATAGACATCCCGCTTCGAACCCGTGATTTTTGGTATCGAAGACCGGTGACCGACCGCGATGAAAAAACAAACCACCGCACCGACCGGAACCCGAAATCGATCGGGCGCAAATGGCTCTCGAGAGGCCACGTCGACGATTTCGCACGCGCGTACTACGCGAAAACTACTCTTCCGTACGACGCCGCAGTCTCGTTTCCGCGTCGCTCGACCGACCGGGCTGACCCAAGAAACGACAGTTGTTTACCTCCGGTGCGTTTCCGCTGCAGACATCACAACGCACATCGCGCAGACCGCACGCACACGTCAAACACCATGTGCATCGCTCCGCATACCCCGACCACCGCCACAGCGCCGCTCGCGTCCTTCGCGGTCGTCGCGCCGCCGAAGCGCATCGACGCGCACGTCGACGACGCGCGGTGCGTCCCAGTCCCGACTCGCGCGCTCGACGCGGGAATATAAACGAGAAAATCCGATCGCGGTGACGTCGACGACGCGGCGCGACGCGCGACGCGCCCGCGGCGCGTCTTCGACGCCGCCGCCGCGCGATTCGCGTCGACGGCGCGTCGTCGACGTCGCCGCGACGCGACGCGCGCTCGAATCGCGACGCGCGACGCGCCGAGCGCATCGTTTCCGTCGACGCGTCGACGTCGTTTTCCCCGCGTGCGTGCTGCTTCCCCGGTCCTTCTCATCGCTCGTCGTATCGCTGACGGACTCCGCCCCCACCCCGCCCCCAATCCTCCACAGATTCGTCGCGAACGCGCTCATCGCGTCCACGAAGCTCGCGCCGACGCGCGTCGCGACGACGCGCGGCGGCGCGCTCGTCGTCCTCGCCGAGTCGCGCGGTCTCCAGATCGTCGAGCGCGACGGCCTCGTCCTCGCGATGGTGTCGTCGACGCTCACCGCGACCGACCTCCTCGCCGCGTACGACGCGACGGACGCGCCGACGGTCAGCACGGGCGCGCGCGTCAACGCGGTGCGCGAGGCGCTCGGCGAGCTGCACGTCGCGCGCGGCGCGTTCGCGGTCGTCGCGTACGACGCCGACGCCGGGCGCGTGCTCGCCGCGCGCACGGCGAACGCGGCAGAGATCTCGTACGGGTTCGCCGCGGACGGCTCGCTCGTCGTCGCGAGCGGAATCTCGTCCGACGCGCTCGGAGTCGCGCAGCCGGGGCTCGAGATGACGCGCCTCCCGAGCGGGCGGTTCGTGTTCGGGCACCGGTACGTCAAGCCGATCGAGTTCACGAGCTTCTGGGCCTCCGCGCGCGCGAACCGATCGGGCGCGAACGCGCGCGCCGCGCCGGCGTCGGCGGATTTTCGCGAGATCGACGCGCCGACGGCGAAGGCGCCGCGCGCGGGGACGACTGACCGCGTCGGTTCTCTCCTCGCGCCGCGCGGCGGCGAAAACGCGCCGAGCGACGCCGCGGCGAGCTGGATGAGGCGAAGCGGCAGCGCGGCGAGGCTGGACGCGCTCGTCGAGGCGAAGACGAGCGCGGGCGCTTACATGCCGCCGGCGTTGCGTCGCGTAGCCGCGGAGAAGGAAGCCGCGAAAGCCGCCGCCGCCGCCGCCGCCGCCGCCGCCGAAGCGCCGAAAACGCCCTCGTCCAACGGCGCGGTCTCCCCGCGCACGGCCGCGAAGAACATCGACGCGCAGGTCGCCGCCGCCATCGCGACCGAGGACGCGCTCGTGGACTCGCTCAAGACGGCGTTTTACGCCGCCGTCGAATCCGTGTCGAGGCGCAACTCGCTCGACGCTCGGCGCGACTCGCTCGACAAGTCGTCGCTCGCGGCTGTCGCCCGCGAGCGCCGCGTCTCCACGGACGCGCGACCGGCCGCGCTCTCGAGGCTGTCGCTGGACAACTCGTCGTGGGAGCGCGCGCTGAGCGCGACGCGGAGCATGGACCGGTGCGGGAGGAACTCGATGGAGGTGAGCGCGCGGTCGCGGGGGGGGTCCGTCGACGTTCGCGCGTCGATGGAGGTGACGAGGCCGGCGAGCCTCCTCGCGTGATGGAGGGAGGGAGGACAATTTATTTTTTCCGCGCCAGAGAGCGAACGACGCCGTTCCGTCCTCTCGCGCTACGCTGTACGCATACGCACGCGACACACGCGAACGCACGCTGTAACAACACGCACGCACGCACGCACGCTAACTCTAGCTTGATTTTAATTTGAGAAAAAAAAATCTCAACGCACGCGCGACGCTCGCTCCCGCGGTACTCTTCTTCCCTCTCTCCGCTGCTACGCCTCCTTCCGCGAACGCACGCCCAAGTGGACCGCCACGCGCGCCTCCTCCTCCTCCTCCCCCCCGCCGCCGCTCGCGTCGATCCTGAAGTCGTCGGTGTACTCCCTCAACTGCGCGAGGAATTCGTCCGACGCGCGCGCCTCTCCTCGGACGAGCGGCACCTTAGGTCGATCCTCGCTCCGGACCTCGCCGACGTAGAAATGCTTCAGGTATAGAAAACTCTCTCGGCTGCTGTGATACAGCTCGAAGTGCCGCGCGGCCTCGGCGTCGAGCGACTGCGCGGGGATGATGCGGTCGCCGCCGGGATGCTCGGGGAGCCAACGCTTCACGTCTGACGACCGATGCGGGGGGCATCGATGAGCGCGTCTTTCGGTCAGTTGAAAGGGGGCGTGTCGCGATCAAAACAATTGTTGAAAACGAGGGACTACGCGTACTCGTGAATGAAAACCGGGTAACGTTCGCAAGACAGGACGAGGACGAACGCACCCAAGACCATGCCGTCGATCACGATCCACACGCCTCCGTTCGCGTTGTGTCTCTTCACGTCCTCCCACGCGTGCACGCGGACTCGCGCCTCGTGCGCGCCGAGTCTCCGCTCGCACGCGTCTTGTAACTCTCGGAGTCCGAGCGTTATGGACGCCGCGAGGAGGTCCTCGGTGACGCGGATGTCGTGCTCCGGAAGAGCCGCGCCGAGCTCGCGCGCCTCGAGCCACGCCAACGTCTTGTCGAACGCGCCGCAGTCCACGTCGACCGTCGCTGACGGCGGCTCGGACGGATTCGAGCTCGAGCTCGGCGTTGGCGTTGGCGTTGGATTTGGATTTGGATCCTCCCGCGGCGACCCGGACGGATCGGTCGACGCGTCCGCGCCGCCGCCGCCGTCGCGTTCGCCGCCGCGTTCTTCGCGTTCCCATCGCGCCAGTTTCCCCGAACTCAGGGTCGTTCCATACGAGCGAACGTCGGGGTGGAGTTGAAAGGCGTCAGAAGCGGAGTTGAAAGGCGCCGAGGTGTGTCGGGATTGAAAGCGAGGGATGGGCGGAGAGAGACGCCGGGAAAAGTCCTTAAGAAACGGCGTTCACCACGCGTGCGCGGTCGTATGGGGACCAGTGTACGAGTAAGGAGAACGCACCTCACCGCGGGCCCGTCCGCTCCCGCGTCTCGTATCGCTCGCGTCAGCGCGATGCACGGCCGAAGAAGCCGTCGGTGCACCGGGAACGTCTCGCCGTCGCTCGTGGTCACGCGCACGACCTCTCTCGCGAGCGCCGCCTCCGCGGCGACCGAGTCCCTCGCGCGCGTCTTCGAGTTGGCGACGACTAAGCCCCCGCCTCGCGTGACCACGTCGTCGCGCTCGCCGTCGCCCTCCGCGTGCACGATGAACGTCGTGCGCTCGCGCGCGACGCCGCGGAAGCAGTGGTACCCCAGCGTCGTCGCCGCGGCGGTCGCGGGGAGGGTGTTCACGGACACGACTCGCGCGCGCATCGGAGGGAACGCGTCGTCGTCGCCGCCGCCGCCGCCGCCGTCGATCATGATAATCTCGCCCGCGCACACCCATCGGTCTCGCAGTCGCGCGGAGAGGTGCGCGGCGACGGCGTCGCCGTCGACGTCGACGAGCGCGTCGTCGTCGTCGTCGTCGTCGGTGTCTTCCTCGTCGTCGTTCTCCTCCTCCTCCCCCTCCTCCTCGCCGCCGCCGCCGCCGCCGCCGCCGTTCCCCCCGCGTCCCCTCCTCCCTCCTCCTCCTCTCAGCAGCCTCAGCTCGATCTCCGCGTCCGCGAGCGCGTGCTTCTCCTCGTCCTCCACGACGTGCGGCGCGAACGTCGCCTCCTGGTCCTCCGCGACGTGCAGGTTATACCGCGTCTCCAGCTCCAGCGCGCACCTCCCCGGCGGCACGCGATCGCATCCGACCGCGCGGACGACGCAGTCGCTGCCGCCTTGCAGCGTCAGCAGGACGACGCGCCCGCGGCCGTCGCGCGCGTCGACGCCGTGACGCGCGAGGAGCGGGTTCGAGGGATGCAGGAGCGCGAACCCGGCGGGAGGAGGCGGCGGCGCGGATGAGGAGGAGGAGGAGGAGGACGGGGGGGAGGCGTCTCGCATCAAGTCCTCGGCGGCGATCACCACGCACGGCGTCGCGCCCGCGGCCGCGCGCGTCGCCTTCTTGTTCACGTACGTCCCGTCCTGCTCCGCGGGCGTCGCCGCGACGCCCGCGAGCGAGTTCGGCCCGCGCGCGAGCTTGAAGTTCACCATCGCGAGCGACGACGAGAAGGTCGGGGCCGGCGCGCGCGTCCGACTGACGACGACGCGATGAAAGGCGTCGACGTTAATGTTGTTAGATCCGCGGCTACGCTACGACCGCGACCCATCACCCCCCCGCTCGTCGTCCCCTCCTCCGCCTCCTCCCTTCTCGCCGCTCCCGTCCCGCGCCGTCCACCCGTCGTCGACCCAGTCCGCGCCCGCGACGCCGCGGACGCCGATCACGTCGCGCAAGACGCCGTACGCGCCTCCCATCACCGCGCGCTCGGCGTCGCCCGACGCGCGCTCCCTCGTCCCCGCCTGCCGCGCGCCCTTGTGCGCGCGGTCGTCCCTTCGCCGCGCCGCGCTATCGCGCAGACTCATCAGGTGGTACAGGAGCTCGCCCTCGGGCCCGCGCGCGTTCGCGCCCGCGCGCTTGAGGAACGTCAGCGCGAGCATCCCTCGCGCGAGCGCGGACGCGCGCGTCGACGACGACGACGACGACGGACGCGGGCGCAGCGCGAACGCGGCTCGCGTCTCGTCCAGAAGCGCGAGCTTGACGCGATGCCGCGGGTGCGCGCGCAGGACGCGCAAGAAGCGGCGGTACAGCGCGGTCGCCGCCGCCGCGTGCGTCATGGCGACGCGACGAAACGCCGCCGCGTGCGGCGCGCGCGGAGGTGTGAGGAGACGGGACGGAATCCAAACGATGAAGAAGCATAACCAGACCGCGGCGGCCGACTTCGACGACGACCAGACGGCGACGCGATACGATACGATGTCGTCGTCGTCACAAAAAAATGTACGCGCGCGCTCGCATCGCGCTGCTATGCCCTCGCCCGCGCGACCGTCGCCGCCGCTCGCCGCGTCGACCGCCTCGCTCCTCCTTCGTCCTCGTCACCGCTCCGCGGCGGCGGCGGCGGGATCTTTCTCGCTCAGATCCAACGTCTTCCCCGTGATCCGCGTGTACATGTCCAGGACGTCCAGCACCGTGCTCTCGAAGTGCGTCGTCGCGTCGTACCCCGCGCTTATGAAGCACCCGTCCTCCTTGCCGTCCGCGATCGGCGTCATGACGTCCGTGACGTTGATGAACTTCTCGTCGATGTGACCTGAGTTCAGTTCCGCGCGAGGCGACGTCGGGGCGGAGTTGAAAGGCGTCAGTTGTTGGAGTTGAAAGGCGTCGAGGAGCGTCGGGATGGATTGAAACCGAGGGGCGGGCGGAGAGAAACGAAACGAACGCCGGGCGAAGAAAGTCCTTAAGAAATGAAGTTCACCACGCCAACGGCGTCGTATGGGGACCAGTGCGAACGAATAAAACAAACGGGGACGCGCCGAGCAGCGCCAGCCCGGGCTCGATCTCCAGGTGCGGGTTCGCCGTCTCCACCGTCGTCGACACGAACGCCAGGTACTTCCCCTTCGCGCACACGTTGTGCGCCCACGAGCACCCGAACACGTACATGTCGCTCTGCCGCCCCGTCTGCGCCTGCGGCAAGATGATCTGGACCGAGTGCGCGTCGCCGCAGTTGGGTATCGGGTGCGACAAGATGCAAATCGCGCGCACGACGCGACCGATCCGTCGCGTCTTTCCCGGGAAGTAGCTCGGGTCCCCCACGACGAACTTCGCGCGCGCGCTCTCCCCCTCGGACGTGACCCCGGTCGCGCGCTTCGTCTCCGGGTCGTACGTCACCTCCACGTCCGGTTTCGCGAGCATGTACGTTCCGCCGTACACCGCGGAGAGCCGCGCGAATCCCTGCGGGAGCTCGCCTAACCCGTAGAGCGGGTAGATGTACGGGCTTCCCGTGTTGAAGCGCGCGAGGGACTCCTCGTACAGCTTGACCGCCTTCACCATCTTAAGCGCGGGGCGGTCGAGGTACGCGTCGTCGACGTTGAGCGCGAGCGCGTGCCCGATGAACTCCACGGTGCCGTCTTGCAGCCTGAGGGTCGTCGGGGTGGAGTTCAAAGGCGTCAGAAGCTCAGTTGAAAGGCGTCGAGGGCGGGGATTGAAAGCGAGGGACCCTGGGCGGAGAGATGCGCCGGGAAAAGTCCTTAAGGATCGGCGTTCACCACGCCGACGCGGTCGTATGGGAACCAGTGTGAGATAGAACGCACCCGAACTTCGCGAAGAGCTCGCGAGAGGTCATCACGTTGAGATTATGCCCCTTGGTCGTGTCCGGCTTGGTCTCGTCGTAGTCCTGGACGTACATGAAGAAACTCCGCGCTCTTCGCTTCTCGAACATCCCCATGAGCGAAGACTTGAGCGCGTCCATGTCCGTCGCGGGCACCTTGTACGTCTTCCCGCCCTTCACCACGTACGACCCGTCCACGGCTTTGAACTACAGGGTCGAGGGTCCATACGAGCGAACGTCGGGGTGGAGTTCATAGGCGTCAGAAGCGGAGTTTAAAGGCGTCGAGGTGTGTCGGGATTGAAAGCGAGGGACCCTGGGCGGAGAGATGCGCCGGGAAATAAAGTCCTTAAGGAACGGCGTTCACCACGCCGACGGGGTCGCATGGGAACCAGTGTGAAGGAGAACGCGCCTGCAGGTAGTTGTGCACGCTCGTGTGCACGAGCGTCCGCACGAGCAGGCCGTTGCCCATCATGAACTTCGGGACCATGTCGAACGCCCAGTCCTGCCACCGCCCGTAGTGCGTCGGCTCCGGCTCCCCCGGGCGGAACTTCTCCCACAGCTGGCGGAGGTTCAGCGACGCGGACTCGCCGCCGTAGTAGGAGTTTCGGTCCATGTGTAAGATCTTCATGCCCTCCACGCTGAGGAGGCCCGCGAGGAGGCACTCCTTCAGCCCGGTGCCGAGGATGATCGCGTCGTAGTCTTGGTCCATGGCGCGCGGCGCCGGGTGCGGAATTCCGGAGCGGAGCGGAGCGAGCGGTCCTCGCGGGTCCGTGCGCGTTCGAGGCGCCGCGCGCTGCCCTGCAGTGATCTCGCGGCGCGCGCGTCGCTCGTTATTCCCCTTTCCGTCTCGTGCTCAGGTGCGTTCTATACAAAGTTTTTCACCCATCGCCCGGTTTCAACGTTTGATCGCTTCCCCTTTCAACTGACCGGTGAACTTTTTTTGTATTGAATGGCCTTCATCGTCGTGCGCACGAACTCGGGCGTAACAGCTCGCGGATCTGAAGACACTACTCCTCGCCCGCGCCGCGCCCCTCCTCGCCGCGCTTGCGCGATGGCGGGCTCGCTCGGGTACGCCGAGCGCCTGTCCTGGCGCGACGACCTCGGCGGTCAGCTCGGGGACCCGGAGCTCTCGGAGGCGGACGGCGCGTCGCTGGACGGCAAGGTGCGCGCGCTGATCGAGCTCGTGAAGAACGCGCGATCCAGGGGTGGCGCGATCGTGCACACGGGCGCGGGGATATCCACCTCGACGGGCATCCCAGACTTCCGAGGACCGAACGGGATATGGACCGCGCAGAGGAACGGCGGCGCGATCCCGAAGGCGTCGTGCGCCTTCTTCCTCGCGCGCCCGAGCGCGACGCACATGGCGCTCGTGGCGCTGCGCGAGGCGGGGTACGTCCGGTTTCTCGTCTCGTGCAACGTCGACTGCTTGCACCTGCGGAGCGGGTACCCTCGCGAGTGCCTCGCGGAGCTGCACGGGAACTGCTTCGCGGAGCGGTGCGAGAGGTGCGAGAGGGAGTACGTGCGCGACTTCGAGATGCCGAGCGTGGGGTTCAAGCGCACGGGGCGCGCGTGCGGCGAGGCGGGATGCGGCGGCCGCCTCAGAGACCAGGTGTTGGATTGGGAAGACGCGCTTCCGCCTAAAGAGCTGAAGCTCGCGGAGAAACACTCCAGAGACGCGCCGCTCGCGCTCGTGCTCGGGAGCTCGCTGCAGATCACGCCGTCGTGCGACTTGCCGCTGAAGACGGTGCGGGCGGGGGGCGACCTCGTCATCGTGAACTTGCAGGCGACGCCGAAAGACAAGAAAGCCTCAGGCGCGTTCTAGTATCGCACTGGTCCCCATACGACCGCGTCGGCGCGGTGAACGCCGATCCTTAAGGACTTTCTCTCCCGGCGCATCTCTCCGCCCATCATCCCTCGCTCACAATCCCGACACACCTCGGCGCCTTTCAACTCCTACTGACGCCTTTGAACTCCACCCCGACGTCGCCTCGTATGGAACGACCCTCATCAGTCGTGATTCGCGAAAAGTGCGACGAAGTCGTGAGACGCGTGTGCCGCGGGCTCGGGGTCGCGATACCGGACTACGTTCGCGAGGACGTCGTCGTCGCGACGGTCGAGCTGAAGAACGAGACGAAGAGCCACGTGGACTTCGTCTTCAAGCTGTCCGGCGCGCACGGGTTCGGGTGTCCCACGCCGTGGCTGAGAGCGGCGAAGGTGGTGTTTTTGGACGACGCGGTGGATGAAAAAAAGAGCGTCGAGGGGAGGTGCGTTCTGTACACTGGTCCCCATACGACCGCGTTGGCGTGGTGAACGCCGTTTCTTAAGGACTTTTGCCGTCGTCTCTCTCCGCCCACCCCTCGGTTTCAATCCCTGACCGCGACGCCTTTAAACTCCGCTTCTGACGCCTTTCAACTCCACCCCGACGTGAAAAAAGGAGCGTCGCGGGCGCGCCGTCGACCGCGAAGCCGTGCGTCTCCGAGGGCGGGCCGTACAAGTGGAAGCGACGGTGGAAGTTCGCGGAAGGTAAACCCCGCGTCATCACGGCGCGCGTCGAGCTGACGTTCGCGGAAGGGTGCGACGTGCGCGAGAAAACGTTCTACCACCGCGCGTACCCGGACGGAGACGCGACGCGCAGTCGGGCGTACGCGTTCGAGACGATGCGGGTGAAGCACGACGCGGGTGAAGACGTCGAAGGCGAGCGGCGAGAGCGCGAGGAGAAACTACTGAAACGCGAGCGGTGCGAGGTTGAGGCGGCGGCGATCGTCGGACGCAAAATGCGGAAAAGGTTCGACGACGGCGTAGACTACGTCGGCGAGGTGACGTCTTACGACCCGGAGACGGGATACTTTCACGTCGAGTACGAGGACGGGGACTCCGAGGATCTCGACGACGACGAGCTGCGGCCGCTCTTCCTCGAGCGGCAACAGCACGTCGAGCGCTGTCAGGAGGTGAACTAGAAGACGACGACGAGCGCGGAAGAGTTGGTCCCTCGTAGCTCGCGTCGTGCGTACGTGTGCTGTAGCGTAGTCGTAGTCGTCGGAATCGTATCGTATCGTTCGTTCGTTCTCGCGTCGTTCGCCGTCGTCGTCTCCCTCCGCTCGGCTCAGGTGCGTTCTATACACTGGTTCCCATACGACCGCGTTGGCGTGGTGAACGCCGATCCTTAAGGACTTTGCCCGGCGCATCTCTCCGCCCAGGGTCCCTCGCTTTCAATCACCGTCCTCGACGCCTTTCAACGCCAACTGACGCCTTTCAACTCCACCCCGACGTTCGCTCGTATAGAACGGCCCTCAGAACCGAGCCTCCGGCCCGATCCCAGCCTTCCCGCCGTCGTCGTTCCCGTCGCGCGTCATCGGCAGGATCGCTCTCCCGACGGCTTCTTCGTCCTTCCACCCCTCCTCCTCCTCCTCCTCCTCCTCCTCGCGGCGGCGGCCACCGCCGCGGATCCAACGCGGCCGCGCCTCAGGCGGCGACCCGCTCGCGCCGCCGCCGCCGCCGCCGCCGCTCGCGCCTCGATCGTGATCCTCCAGAGGGAGGTAGTCCTTCATGATCGCGCGGACTTCGCCGTCGATATGCGATCGGAGCTTCCACTGATACGCGCCGTACCCCGCGCCGCCGACGACGAGGAGGACGAGCGCCATCGCGAAGAAGATCGTCCCGCCGCCGACGCCGCCGCCGCCCCCGCCGCGGACGCCGCCTCCCGGGAGCTTACACTTCTGCCCGTCCTTCTGCAGGGCGTACCCTTCGATGCACGCGCACGAGTGCCCGCCGGGACGCGCGACGCATCGTTGGTCGCACCCGCCGTTGTCGCCGCTCTCGAGGCACTGCGACGGGGGTGATTCCAGAGCGCGGACGAGGCGCGTCGGTCAGTCGAGAGGGGGAGGGGGGGGGCGGGGTGAACGCGGAGCGCACCTCGTCGATCAACACGCACGAGAACCCGCCGACGAGCTTGTATCCGGCGTCGCACGCGCACGCGTGCCCGCCGACCTCGTTCGCGCACGTCTGCTCGCAGTCGTTCAACGACGGGTCGTCGCACTCGTCGACGTCCTCGCACGTCGCGCCGTCGCCTTTGAACCCGGGCGGGCAGACGCACTCGTATCCTCTGCGGGGGGGAAAAAAAGTGCGAAAAACGTTCAGCGTCGGTCGGTTGAAAGGCGACGCGCGCGATCAAACATACATTGAAACCGAGCGGTGGGCGACACCTGAACGTGTCTCGACACGCGGAGAAGTTTTTCCCCGACGCCGGGTCGGCGTAGTGCCAGCACCCCGCGTTCCCCGGGGCCTCGCACTCGTTCGTCTCCATCCCGCGCGCGAGGCACACCGCGGGCTCCGTGGTCTCGCGGTACCCGGCGCAGATCGCTCTCAGCGCGTCCGCGCCGGTCAGCCGACCGCGGTACTGATCGAGGTTGATCACGACGGTCGGCATCAGCACGATGGCGCCGCGGCCGCTGTCGTCGAGGTCGTCCTGAAGCCTCAGCTCGAGCTCCATCGTCGGGTTATCCGCGTCCGCGTCGACGTCCCCGACGCACTTTTCCACGCGGTCGACGAATGCCTCGGACAAGCCGTGCCCGGCCATGACTCTCGCGGAGCACTCTCTGTTAAACTGTCCCGCGGTCATCTTGCACTCCGCGTTGTGACGCGTCGCGTACGTCCACCACAGCCACGGCGCGGGCGACGGCGGCGACGATGCGTTGGTGGTTGTCCCTTCGCCGTTTAGAGTCACGTTGCGGTTTAACTCTTTGTGCAGGCACAGCTGCCGAAGGTTCTCCCGCGCGACGTGCGTGCCGTTGTACCCGTGCTTCCTCACCGCCGCGACCGTCGCGGCGTCGACGTCCACGCCCGAGATCGGGTCCGGGGCGCAATACCGCCCTTTGTTGATGCAGAGCCTATCGCAGTCGCTCTCTTCGACGGAATCTTTGCGACACGCCCACGTGATGAAGTGCGGCGAGAACGAAGCCGCGCCGGACTTCTCGAGCTTCGCCGCGGGCGTCGCCATCTCGTTTATGAACGCCTCCAAGCGCGCGCACACGCGACCGCAGACCTGGTTCGTGCTGTGCCACAGCTCCCACTCCACGCGCGCGTCCGGGGACGCGATGCTGTCGCTCCAGTCCAGCGCGACGAGCGGGACCTGGTTTTTGGCGACGATCGCCTCTCGCAACGCGTCGCCCACTGACAGGAGGGTCGTTCAATACAAAAATATGATAGTTCATCGGTCACTCGAAAGGGGACGCGATCAAATGTTGAAACCGGGCGATGGGTGAAAAACGAAACGTTTGTAGCCCTATAGAACGCACCCGACTTGGTCACCAGCGCGGACGGGATCGTCACGCGCTCCGCGAGCTCCGCGATCTCGCTCGACGCGCCGTCGTCCGCGGCGTCCGGCTGCGCCATCGTGACGAGCCCTTCGTCGACGTCGTCCGCGACGATGACCGCGTTCGCGCCCGCCTGCTGCGCGCGCCACGCCTTCTCGACGAAAAAACACTCGCCGCGGTCGACGAGGACGACGGTGCTGTGGCCGACGCCGGTGGCGCGGGAGACGTTCGAGAACGCGCCGCACCCGAGCGCGTTGGAGGCGTCGTACGTCACCTCGCCGATGATCTTCGCGCCGTAGTTCGGGACTGCGGGGAGGGAGGGACGATTGATGACGCGTTGGAGAAGGCGAGAGGGCGGCGGGTCTTGTCGCGGCGGTCGCGCGTCGCGCGGTCGCCGTAACCGCCGACGACGCACCTCCGAAGTCGCCGATCGCGGAGTCGAACGACCCTTTGATCGAATCCGGCTCGATGATCTGCAAGTTCGCCTTCTCGACGACGAACGACGCGGCTTCGGCGACGCGCGGCGCGGGGAGGACGGCGAAGGTGAGGAGGAGGAGGAGGACCGCCCCTTGCGGGGGCGCGGCGCGTACGCGGCGCGGCGCGGTCGACGCGGCTCGTCGACGCGACGGCGACGACGGCGACGACGACGACGGCGACGACGCCGCCGCCGAGGGAGAGGAGGAGGCGCGCGGTCGCATGGCGAAGGTTGGTCGCGACGCGCGCGGCGGGGGAGTGCGACGGCGCGCGCGTCGTCGTGGTTCGTCCGAGGTATCGCGGCGTTTCCGTTTCCGAGAAAACCGACAGAACGAGAAGAACCAATTAACCAAACAGCAGAACCAAACGGAGCGGCACAAACATGACGATAAAAGAGAGCGTCGCTCTCGCGTTGGAATACCTTACAACACCCACCCTTCCTCCTCCCCCTCCTCCTCCTCCTCCTCCTCCTCGCTTCCTTCCTCACTTCCTCTTCCTCGTCGACGCCCTCGTCCCGCCGCGCGCGGGCGACGTCGCCGTCGCGTCCGCCCTCCCGAAAGGCCCCGGCGCGTTCGCCGCCTCGACCCCCGGGGGCGTGTTCCCCGTCCCCCCGAGCGCGTGCAGCAGCAAATTCAGCTCCGATTGCGTAAAGTTGGGCGTCGTCGGGCGGTCGCTCCCGCCCGCCGTGACCGCCGCGCCTCCCTCGGTCGTCGTCAATCGCGGCGAGCCGCTCGGCGACGCCGTCGGCGACCCGGAGAGCTTCTCCGTGAGGAGTTTCCGGAGCAACGCGCTGTGTTGCCCGGACCCGCCGGAGGACTCGAGCGGCCGACCGGTCGCGGTCGCGGTCGCGGTCGCCGCGCCCTTCGCTTTCAACGCCTCGCTTTCAACCCCGGTCCCGGACGGCGTCGGCACGAGCGACCCGAGCGCGCCGATCGCGACGCCGTCCGCGCCGCCCCTCGGCGTGACGGATAAGATCCAGTTCATCACCTGATGAGGGCCATTCCATACAAAAACCAAAAGTTCATCGGTCAGTTGAAAGGGACCCGCGCGATCAAGTGTTGAAACCGAGCTACGGGTGAAAAACATCTGTCTAGCAGAACGCGCCTGGGTCATGTCCACCGTGGGCGTCTCGAGGCCCACGTCCGCGGCGGTCGCGGCCGCGTTCCACGCGTCCCGGCCTCGCGTCCTCGCGGTCGCGCCGCCGCCGCCCGCGCTCGCGCCGCCGCCGGCGTTCTCCATGCTCCCGACGCCGGCGGCGTGCGGCGATATCAAATCCTGCACTTGTTTAAGCAACTCGATCTCCATGGCGGTGAACGACCCGGAGGAGATCAGCCCGTGCTCCACCGGCGGCGGGCCCACGGACGACGGCGGGTTTCCGCCGCTCGAAAGAGGGGTGAACCCCGCGCCGGGCTCGGAATCGTCCCCGCGCGGGATCTTCACGCTGAGCTTGGGCCTCCAGTCTCCGCTCGACATGAGGTTCGTCGTCGCCGTCGACGCGGGCGACGACGCGATTCCGCCGCCTCCGCGCGCAACAGCGTGTCTCTTACTCGCGTCCCTCGCGGTGGTGGACCCCGGCGGCCGTCCCGGGCCGCGGCTCGACGGCGACGTCGCGCCGCTCCTCGGCGTCGAACCGCCGCCGCGTTTGCGTTTGCCGCCGCGGGAACCCCCCGGGGAGGGATTCGGATTCGCGCGCTCCTCCTCAGCCTTCTCCGCGAACGAACGTCGGGGTGGAGTTGAAAGGCGTCAGTTGAAGGAGTTGAAAGGCGTCGAGGTGTGTGCGTCGGGATTGAAAGCGAGGGACCCTGGGCGGAGAGAGACGACGGGAGAGAAAGTCCTTAAGAAACGGCGTTCACCAAGCCAACGCGGTCGTACGGGGACCAACCAGTGTGATACTAGAACGCGCCTTCTCCTCCTTCTTCACGAGGACGACGTGGCG